TCCCTGGACATCGGCCCACATTGTACTTACTTTCATATTGTTCAAATGATGGTTTTCCTTAATTTAGCCGTATTTTCTCACCTTCTTTACCACAGGCTTGGCACTAGGACCTTTCTTTGGAGCCCTGGTAGCTTATTTAGTACTTGTAACACTAAAATAAATGGAAATATTATGAAATATTTCGCTGGAGCACGTGAGGGGAACCTTCGCTCACTGGTAAACAATGCCAGACTGGCTGCCGCCCCGGCTCACGCCGTGGTACGCGTCCCCGGATGAACTACGATTCGCGGTCAACCTATGAAAAGCGAGTCCATGTTTATACGAAAATACCTCTATGATTGGCAAATTTTATGATTGCCGGGAACTACGAAAAGTGGGGACCACGTATATATGTTTGGACCATTTAAGGGTAAATCGTGTTTCCAGGCCTCACCTATATCAGATTTGCCCTCCATTTTGAATTCATTTAAACTCACAAAAAAAAAAATGAAAATTTACCCTATTGCCATAACTAGGAATAGTTCGTCATTCTTTACGGCATTTCATAATTAAATCAAACATAATTAAAAAACCCCCGAAACAGACTGGAGGGTGTAGGGGGACCTTACCCTTCCTAAGGAAAATTGGCAAAATAAAATCTTTCTGCTATTTTTAGCCCAATTTCAAGCCACTTCCAATCCTGAAATCAATCAAATTTATCTCTATTCCAGTTGAATGTTTTTCATTCTATCAACTCATACCATGAAACAGCCAATACAGTGGACCCCCGGTATACGATATTAATCCGTTCCGAGAGCTCATCGTATGCCAAAATTATCGAAAGGCGAATTAATTTTCCCCCTAAGAAATAATGGGAAAACAAATTAATCTGTGCAAGACACCCAAAGTACTATAAAAAAAAAGTTTTACCACATGAAATATTAAGTTTAATGCACACAAACTGAAGAAGACATGCACAGTTAGTTGTACTCTACTAACAATAGAATACTGACACTTACCCTTTTAAAGAAGATCTGGGATGATTGATGGGATGGGAAGAGGGGAGTGTCGAAGTTGTTAATGTTTAGAAGGGGAAACCCCTTCCCCTTAGGACTTGAGGTAGCAAGTCCTTTTCCGGGGCTACTTCCCTTCTTCTTTTAATGCCCCCTAGGACCAGCTTGAGAGTCGCTGGACCTCTGTCGCACAACAGATCTGTCCATAGAGCTCTGTACCTCCTGTTCCTTTTTGATTTGTCTAAATGGGCCACAACATTGTCCCTTTTTAATAGTCACCAGCACGGCTTGCAATAGCTGCGTTAGGGTGATTTTCATCCATAAAGGTTTGCACTTCAACCCACTGTGCACACATTTCCTTAATTTTTGAAGTAGGCACAATGGATCCTACAACTGGCATAGGCTTCTCAGGGTTAGCCCTAAACCCTTCAAAAAACTTTCTTAATTTTCATACTAATTCTCACCCTTTTTACCACAGGGTTGGCACTAGAAGCTTTTTTTGGGGCCCATGGTGACTTATTTTGGGAGAAAAAAAGCACCAAAAACACTGTGATAAAATGGAAAGACCGAATGTATGCTGGAGATGCGAGCACACTGGCTGGCTTGTAAACACTGGCACCACGTGGCGCATCCCGGATGAATCGCGTGTGGCAGGTTTTTACAAGTGGCGAGGCAAAATTTTTGCGTTAAAATGTATCGAATACTGGATTTAATGTATACTGATGCCATCGAATGCCGGGGGTCCACTGTAAATGTATAAAAAACCATCGAAGAAAACAGTTCAAAGTCCACTATTTTAAACCAGACGCAAGGTCAGAGTTTTTCTTTCCCCATCATACATCACGTGTGACAAGATATAATTTTCAAAGTGCCCACTCCTGCACAGACCCTTCTTTCATAGGCCAAAATTATCACTCAGCTTATCAGAAGGGGTTAAGCTCAAAAAAGTTGATCTACGTGAGGAACTCTGGTGTCAGTGACATAGATCTATGTGAGGACAGTGAATGGGTCAAGAACCCCATTTTCAGTGCTTATTCACTTCTTTATTTTCTTCCAAGAAAATAAAATGTAACATCTCCATTTTTTGACTGACGTTTACCCCAATAATATGAGCTCAATACATATACAGTAAATGGTCATACACCAAATATAAAAAAAATTAACTCACTACCAAATAAGAAATAATGAAATCTTCATTAAAAATTATGTGCATATGATACATGCATCAAATGGTCTCAATAAAATATGCATTTCATTGAAAATGAGAAATAAAATTCAGCTTTAACCCTTTCAGGATCGAGAGGCCCTCTCCTAAACTCATTCTAAGGTCGAAAATTTTTTGGGGGGAAAAAAAATTTCTTTTTTCTTATGAAATGATAGAGAATCTTTTCCCGATCATAATGACACTAAAAGTATGACATTTGATGGAAAACTTATGGAATTATGCTCTCGCGAAGTTAGCGGTCTCGACAATTTTTATGCATCAGCGATTTTCCCCATTTGAGCCCTATTTTCGGCCGATTCCTGTGTACTAGTCGACAAAATCACATTTTGCTAAACTCCATTTTTTCTATCGAATGAATACAAGAAACCACCCATTTACAATTTCAACTATCCAATAAAGTGGTTACAAATTGGCAATTTTGCCAATTTCACACAAATTCATAAGATGCCAATTTCCAAATAGGGTCCAGAATAAACAAGACAGACATTCCTGGCACTAAAATAACAAGTTCTCTGTTCAGTTAGTCACGTCCCCAGGCCCCTCTACATTTCTTTTGCTTTCCACTTTTAATGTTTATTCTCGCAAAAAATATAGAAGATTTACTGTTATGCAGACTACTGCATTAGTGTAGAAATGGATAAATAATATCAGCGCACTTGTGAAAGAATATTAGACTCACCAGTTGACGTGTATTGGATGCTTGGCATGATTGTTTACTTTTGAACTTTGGTGAAAATCAAACATTTCTGCTGCTTTGAGCTCGATTTCAAGGTACTTTCATTGTGAAACCAGACAAAATCATCTTAATTTCTGTAATATGTCTTCCATTCTATAAAATGAGACCAGGAAAACTAGAATACAACCATAAATACTTTTTGAAAATACAGTGCAAAGTCGCTGTTTTAATTAAAAAACACGGTCAAAGTTTTTTTTTTCTCATTACGCACTGTGTGCTGCAGGACTTTTTTATACTGCACACACTGACCACATAGACCCATCTTTCATATGTAGGTCCTACCAGCTTTCTCTTGCTAGATTTGAAAGGTGCTGAATTTTT